TCCCAGTGCCCCCCCCTGCCCTCGGTGGGCTCCCAGTGCCCCGGCCGCAGGGAGCTCAGCACCGCAGCGCAGCCTGCAGACCAGGCGCTGTCCTGTCCCCAGCCCTGGAGCGACCGCGTTGCCTCGGCAAAACCCCACAGTACCAGGCAACACACGAAGGCAGCCCCAGTAAGCCTCTATAGGAAAGATTTACAAAACAGTTTTGACTCATGGCAGAACTGCAGCCCCAGCGCCCTCGGGACACGCACAGCGTGACCGGTTCCAGGGATGAGTTTCTGCCTCTGCGTGCTCTGCTCTGAGCACTTACACTGCTGGCCAAGATGTGCTAGAGAAATGTTTGGGTTTAAAATATGCTGATTAATCAACACTGATTTTTTATGTAGGGGAAAAAGGTCAGCTATGAAAAACTGCCAGTTTCAAAATCCAATTCACAATCCAGTTTCAACAGTCTAATTGAAGAGTTCCAATTATTTTTGTTGTTCAAAGACATGTTTTACTACAAAAATGTGATCACTTATGGTAAAAATGTTACCTAGAACAAAACAAAACAACGAACTAGTACAAAAATAATGTAAAATATTCTAAGCAAGTGGTTAGAGTTGACTGCCTTAGTTATTTTTTTCAGTGGTTCCTCACAGCCCAGCTGCACATCCAGGAATCTGGAGGGAGGTCTTGAGTCTTTCCTCATCACTTTCTCCCTGCAGCATCCTTCCAAGTGCCAGCAAGAGCTGTGAGAGCTTCCTGCTAGCACAGGCCAGGCAAACAGGGCCCACAGTGCAGGTGCTCATGCCAGACAGCACAGCACTCACATCCCCTGTCTAACAGATCACAGTACCCACAAATGTCCCAGAACAACACCCCTTAGCCCATCCCTGCTAAGGCTCCATCACAGCCTGGCATCCCGAGCCCCCTCTTGTTTTGAAACACCAAGTTTGTCTCACCTCCCTCAAGCACTTTGCTCACTCAGTGACAGCCTTACGCTCTGCAATCTTTATCTGATATTTTCTGCTTCTCCCTTCCTCTCATCTGCCCTCTTCTCCCCTTCTGCAGGAGCATGGAGGGCTAGCCATGCTCCCCAGAGCCTGCCTGCCCGGGTTTCCTCATCACTTTCTCCCTGCAGCATCCTTCCAAGTGCCAGCAAGAGCTGTGAGAGCTTCCTGCTAGCACAGGCCAGGCAAACAGGGCCCACAGTGCAGGTGCTCATGCCAGACAGCACAGCACTCACATCCCCTGTCTAACAGATCACAGTACCCACAAATGTCCCAGAACAACACCCCTTAGCCCATCCCTGCTAAGGCTCCATCACAGCCTGGCATCCCGAGCCCCCTCTTGTTTTGAAACACCAAGTTTGTCTCACCTCCCTCAAGCACTTTGCTCACTCAGTGACAGCCTTACGCTCTGCAATCTTTATCTGATATTTTCTGCTTCTCCCTTCCTCTCATCTGCCCTCTTCTCCCCTTCTGCAGGAGCATGGAGGGCTAGCCATGCTCCCCAGAGCCTGCCTGCCCGGGGTGCCCGTGCAGTGGCCAGCAGCCCCCCCAAAAGGCTAGCCATGCTCCCCAGAGCCTGCCAGGGTGTCCCTGCAGTGTCCCGTGGCCGCCCCCAGCCCACGGCAGGGCTGGAGAAGGTTTTCCCCCTGGGCACAGGCACCCGCAGGGCTGCAGTCCTTCCCAGATCCTGGTGGGCCAGGCACCTTCAGGCCATGGCAAACATTGGGCTGATGGTACAAAGCGGTTATACCTGTGTAACATTAAGCTCTGCTATTAAACACGGCGCAGCACGTGCTGTCCCAAGCCACCAGCAGCAGTAGCCCAAGGACAGAAGCCCAGACTAGACTGTCATTTGCTTCTACATTTCAATCAAGAGGTAAGAGCTAATCAGCCTTTCTTGTAAGTCCCTGCTAGAACAGCTTCAAGGAGCCTTTAACAGCATTTGCCCAAGTTTCTTTCTACAGCTTTGCTTTAAACAAAGCCAACCAAAAGAATAAAAACAAGGGAAGGACGTGTGGGTTATGTGTGCAGGTCCAGGTTCTCAAGGCAATTAAACTCCTTCTGCATTAAACACCCCACGTTTCTGTACTTAGCGGAGCAGGGAAGGTCCCTTTGTTCATGAGGACAAGGACGAGTGGGATTTCATCCTTGGTTCAGGCCGTGTGTGATGTGAGGCACCCGCTGCCCAGGCACCCCTTCCCACCCCGGACACACACACCAGGGAAGGGCTCTCCCACACCACACGTCCCCAGACACACCCTGTGACACCCACAACCATCAGTGCCAAACGTTGCCAAGAAAACACACGAAGGAACCAAATTAGCAAAAGGCAGGAATATAGAAAGGGCTTCTAGTCCACAAGATACACGTCCACAACATAACAAACATTTTACTGCCAAAGGACAGCAACCTGGAAAGCTCAGAATATTATGCAAGGGACACAGCCAACAGAAGGACCATAAAGTTAAAAAGTCTCTGTTAATCAATGACAAATTTAGTACTTGTTGCTACAATTATAAAGATAATAGTTCCTTTATGTCAGTGCCTTTGGTTTTGCAGCTGTAAAATAGCTTTGAAATTCAGCATTTCAAGTAACAGAAATTAATAGGAGGTCATTTCTACCAGAGAAATTTTAGGGGCCCATCCTCTCTAATCATCATTAAAAACTAAATCCACAGGAGAAGAGGCACTTTACTGATTGTCAAGTGGAAGCTATTATTCATTTGATGACGCTCTTGGCACAGTGCCATTTATTCTGCTGTAGAGCCTGCTGGTTGCTCTACTTCATCTCATGCAATCAAGGTTGTTTCTGCCTGCCAAGAGTTATTTATAGAGTGGGGGGAAAAAGAAAAAAAAAAAAAACAAGAAAGAAAAAAAAACCACCACTATGTTCTTGTGCTTCAAAAACAAGTTTCAAACTTTCTAACTGAACAACTGCTTCCCTCCTCCCCAGTGACATTCTTTTATTTTGAGCCCCATTTGTACAAAAACAAAGCACGTTCCTAGATTTCATCTTCCCTAAAACATGGAAGCAATTCCCATGCCATGCACATTTTCATGGAGAAATGACTGGATTTTCTCTTGCCCAGCCCCTGCACAGCCCCACACCCCTAACAGGGGTAACAGCCCCTTCCACCAGGACCCAAGGGGACCCGCAGAACCCCCTCGGGGGGTCCCCTGCACCGACGCCTCCCACATGCACCCACAGGGTGGGCAAACCCAGTGAGCGGTGGGGACCCTGCCTGTCCTCACCTGCCTGCCAGGATGAGGAGGCGGATGAGGCGGTCAGGCTGAAGGGGGATGTGTGTCTGTCCCAAAGCCTGATTCCCCGGTGCCCAGATCAGGTGCAATCTTTACACCCATGGAGGCTCTGCCACGGTGCTGCGGAAGGGCTTTATGTCCCCTTTGACACACGAATGACCATAAATTCCTAAGCAAAAGTGAAAAGCCTGTTTTTGACCTCGAGGCCAGTTTACATCAGGAATCTTGACTTTCTTGAACTGAAATATTTAAGCAAATGTAGTAAAACACCACTAGTGTCACATTTGTGTGTGAACTTAGCACAGTCCTTTGAAGTTTCTGCAGCTTTTAAGAGCAACCCCTTATAAACCTCAGACTTAACACCTTAGAAAGGGAAGAAAGTGAATTTCACACTCAGGAAGAGCAGAATTCTCACAAATGATCCAGAAGCAGAACTACCAGCGTGCAGCTGAGCAATTTTACAGCTGGATTCTGGCGTGTTGAGCTCCGTGAAACAGCGGGCAAACCATGGTCATTTTCACCCCAGTCAGTCCTCCATTTCCAGAGCTATTAACCAGTCCCTTTCAACAGACAGGGTTGTTTCGAGTTTACTTACCTTTACTCACAGAGAGCAACACCCTATTCCATGGGTGTTTTCCCTGATTTCACAGTTATTCCCTGAACAAACTACCTGCCGCCGGCGAGCCCTGCCCTGCTCACCCCGCGACTTCACCCAGACGTACCCCCCTGCCGGGATCCTCGCCCCCTCAGCAGCACTGCCCGGATCCTGCCCCCCGGAGCCTCCCGCAGTGCCGGGATCCTGTCCCGGTGCCGGGATCCTGTCCCAGTGCCGGGATCCTGTCCCGGTGCCGGGATCCTGTCCCAGTGCCGGGATCCTGTCCCGGTGCCGGGATCCTGTCCCAGTGCCGGGATCCTGTCCCGGTGCCGGGATCCTGTCCCAGTGCCGGGATCCTGTCCCGGTGCCGGGATCCTGTCCCAGTGCCGGGATCCTGTCCCGGTGCCGGGATCCTGTCCCAGTGCCGGGATCCTGTCCCGGTGCCGGGATCCTGTCCCAGTGCCGGGATCCTGTCCCGGTGCCGGGATCCTGTCCCAGTGCCGGGATCCTGTCCCGGTGCCGGGATCCTGTCCCAGTGCCGGGATCCTGTCCCGGTGCCGGGATCCTGTCCCAGTGCCGGGATCCTGTCCCGGTGCCGGGATCCTGTCCCAGTGCCGGGATCCTGTCCCGGTGCCGGGATCCTGTCCCAGTGCCGGGATCCTGTCCCGGTGCCGGGATCCTGTCCCAGTGCCGGGATCCTGTCCCGGTGCCGGGATCCTGTCCCAGTGCCGGGATCCTGTCCCGGTGCCGGGATCCTGTCCCAGTGCCGGGATCCTGTCCCGGTGCCGGGATCCTGTCCCAGTGCCGGGATCCTGTCCCGGTGCCGGGATCCTGTCCCAGTGCCGGGATCCTGTCCCGGTGCCGGGATCCTGTCCCAGTGCCGGGATCCTGTCCCGGTGCCGGGATCCTGTCCCAGTGCCGGGATCCTGTCCCGGTGCCGGGATCCTGTCCCAGTGCCGGGATCCTGTCCCGGTGCCGGGATCCTGTCCCAGTGCCGGGATCCTGTCCCGGTGCCGGGATCCTGTCCCAGTGCCGGGATCCTGTCCCGGTGCCGGGATCCTGCCCCAGGGGCTGCAGAGCCCGGGCCGCAGGGGTCGGGGCAGCCGCTCTCCAGGCGCTCGGGGCTCACACAAACTTGGTGTGGGGACTAACAAAGACAAGTAAACTGACTCTGCTTCGAAGCTCTTATTAATATTATAATTTAAGGATAGACAGAAAGCTGAGATCCAGTTCCAGGTAATTTCCTAAATAAAACACCAACCAAAAGCAGAAATGCTGTTTTCTAATGGGTTCTATTCCTTTCTTGTTGACCAATATAAAATGATACACAGTTTAGTGGATCTTCAGTTAAACAGAACCCATAAGACACAGAGAGAGCTTCTAAAAACCAAAAGCTGTTGCAAGACTACCAGGAAATATCTTCAGTAAAGAAAATGTTGAACAATTGTTAGCCAATTTCCTAGGGATTTTACACGTAATAAGCAAAGTACATGATGGGCTCTTGATTTAACGAAACCCCCTGAATTATGCATTTTCGTAATGACAAGTACTGCAGGCAACATTTACACAAGTATGCAAATTCTATGTGAAATCTATTTTGCATCTGGTGAAATCCCCCTCCCCCATATAAAACACGGGATAATTCCAGGGAAGAATTTTCAGCAGGTTCTACCTTCTGCTGCACGGCAAGCACTCCCTAAAACAACCAGCAAAACTATTGTTCTAATTAGCATGTAAAAAAAAAAGATGTATAAATCACTGGAAAATCATGTGTGGTTTGAGGATTATGCCTCCAAGCTGGTTTTCCCATTGGATGACATTCCAAACCCCGGACACCAAAATGGGTTATGCTGAAGAGCAAATACCAGTCATTAACTTTCCTGTGGTTTAATAATTACACCTCTTCCTGGGGATGTGATTAAACCACACAGCATTAGAAAACAGAGGGAATTAAGTCAACATGCCTCAGAGCTGAAGAGTAAGTGAATGTGCACAGTAAAAAAAGCTGGATCAGATGGCGGGATGTGGATTTTCAAGGTCTGTACAGCAGTGCAACACACGAATGCAATAAGAATAACATCATTGCCAGATGTAAGGGCATCTCCCCCTCCACGGGGAAATGCAGCATTGCATTACAGGAGGAGGTGAAGGGCACCAGGACCAGCAGAGACCTGACCCCCCACCGTGTGCCCTGCTCTGTCAGTGCAAGGATGACCTTCCAGCTTGATCAGACCCACTGCAAACACATCATAAAACATATCTTCAGTCTGAGTGTGATTCCCAGGTGGGGATTCCTAGGAGCAAGTCTTTGCCAATGACCATGCTCTCTAAACACCAGTCTGGAGGGGTGGGAAGAGGACTTGTCCTAAAACCATTTGCAAGCACCAGGAACGAGCCAAAGAGGCTTGGCAAAGTTCAGAAGGATGCTGGCTCAGGAAGCCAAATTAATTTTTTTTGATGGAATAACATCAGGGAGGAATTTGAGATTCAAGCATTTCAGTTGTGAGTCATTTCAGCTCCAATGCCACCATCTGGTTTTGAACATGGCTGTAACCATTCCTGGTCAAGGCTGCACCTCTGGGAAGAGTGTGGCAGTGCTGTGCCAGAGCTGGCAACTCAGGTCCCAGGCCTGGCCAAGGGGTATTTTCAGTTGCAGATGACAAAATGACCAAGTCTTCATTTTCTTCATTTTCCTTCAACAGTTTTGGGAGTTTCCTTGAAATGCTCGAGGAGAAGACATTCCATCTTTCAATCATTTGAGAAATCATTTTCTACTCAGTGGTATCACTGCTAGAACTTAACTGGAAGTGACTATTCCCTGTGTAAACTTGCACTTTACTAGAGGAAAAAACTGAAAGAAACCAGGCAATTTTACTAAAACACATTGCATCAGTCTCCTGGGGGTAGGTGGTAAGTAATTGCCTCTGCATCACTTCTTCATCTTGGCTTTCTATCCTCTCTTCACTTGAACTGTCCTTAGCCATGCCCTCTATTTTTTCTGACTTTTGCCCTTCTGATTCTCTCCTCCATCCTCCTGCAGGGCGAGGAGGAGTGAGTGAGGGGGCTGGGAGGTGTTTAATTCCTGGCTGGAAACACACAGGCTGTCTCTAATGCAGGTCTTTTCCCCTGTCCTCATGCCTCACTAGCCATTCAGCATCTGCCCACAAGGCTGAAATAATATTTATGGGAAACCTGGACAAAGCATTAGTTTACCATTATATCAGTTTATTATCCATATATTTAAATTTTATTATATTTTAGATTACATTTTACTTCTTTTTCCAGTCTCAGTGCAGACTTGATTGAAGAAACTTTTAGATTTCCTCATAAAAATACAGCTCACATAGCCTTTGGTAATTTTCACTTGCACTTTTTATCTCTAAGAAACAACTTTTTTGTTGGATTAATATTTATTCTTCTCATTATAGCCTCTCTACTTATTCATAGTGTCCTTTTGAGGCATTTATCCTGCTCAGTCTGCAGTCATTCCCCACAACACTTTTTTCCTCTGCTGTATAGAGATGCCAGACAGTTTTTGCACTTTTGACTTAAAGAAATTCCAAAATCTGTTCAACATGCACAGCAACCTAGAGACCAACACAAGCAGAAATATCTAGACATTGTAATTAATAGTAGCATTGACTCTGCAATCTGTATCTGGGAAGTTAAGAGTCTCCCATAATGATACAATTCCTGGTACTACTTATCTCTCTAATAAGACTGTGGAGATCTCTCTCCATTTCCAAATCCACCCCCGAGGGCCTGCAGCAGACACCCAGCACCACTCCAGCAATCCCTCTGCTATCATCCCTTCCCAAAGTGATGTTTGTCCCAGCCCAGCTCTGGTTCCCAGCCTGTGTCCAGCCAGCAGGACCCCATGCGCAGCCCCTGCCCAGCGCCTGCTCTTCGCTGCTCCCGCACTCCTGTTCTCAGATCCCTGGCTCCTGACCATGGGAAACCACTGACTGCCAGGCCACGGTCCAGGAGGGAGCACCAGGGTGGGGGAACCCGACGGGTCTCTCCAGCCCAAGCTGGTGCTTTCAGCCGACACTGCAGCAGCAGGGCTGGCAAAGTCTCCGCGAGGGACAGAACGCCAGGCACCGCTCCAGGGGAGACACAGTAGGACCAAGAGCTCCTCAGTATGTGCAGGAAACCTCCTAGCTGGGTTGTTCCTAATTCTGAAGTTTCCCCACTAAGGAAAGATTTTATTGGGTCTTGATGTGTGCAGATACACCCATGACAGAATCATGATGTGGAAGTGGAAGAACATGCTGACAGTGAAAGCACTGTCGAGAAGCATCGTTGCATTGGTGGCAAATAGAAACATTTTGGACCAGATGCATCTTCTGTGTAATTTATTTAAATTGTGGGGCTTGCACCAGGAGTGAAACAGGTCACATCCCTAGCATTGATGATCTATATTTTACTTACAATGATAAATAATTATTCTTCTTTGCTTTTGCATTATTCTATCACATATCTGCTGTTTATAAGAATTCTTTTTGGACAAAGTTTACATTTTTGGCAGTTGGCAATTGCATTTGAATGTCTGGGGAAGAGCAAAAAAAACATGTCTAGTCATTCAGGAAGCTGTTTGGTGCAGACCACACCAGTACAGTCCCTTAATACCTGAGCATATGGTCCTGGATGACAAGGATCTTGTTCTTCAATATGCTCTCCATTCAAGGATATATGGCAGACAGGTCTTCATGGATACTGAAAGACCTTCAACAGTACTGCAGACAGGTCTTCTTTCCCAAGACCTGCTTTTTAGTAAGGACTTAGATCTTTACAGTCATGCAGAATTAGAGGATTTTATAGGCATAGAACTTTATGCCCTCTTTAAATGTTGAAGGTATCTCCTGTTGGAGGGCTATGAAGAGCTCTCCCCAGTAAACCTCAAGACACCCAGTCCTTTCCTTACAGGAGATAACTAAGCTCAGCTGGAAGGGAAGCCTTGGCTCACTTCAAACCAAATCCCCTCCCATGTAACTAGCCTCACAGCCCGCTATGAAGTCAGCCACAGGACACAATTCCGATCATTGCTTTCTCTCCCAGCCCAAGAGAGAGTAATTTCTCATGTAAAGTCATTTTTTTTTAAAAAAAGTCATCTCTCTCTCTTCTGCTTTCTCACTGTTTCTGCTGCTTCTCGGGTGAGTCATCCCAGAACTCCTTGCCAGAGCCTCCAGAAACCACAGCAGAGAGGAGTGGAGCTCACATCCAAGAGAGGGCAAAGGGAAGGCAGAGAGAGCCTGAAGTGATGAAACATTACGTTGGCAACTCACATTTGCATCACTATCAGCAACAGATTGTCACTCCTCAGCCTCAAGTAACACAAAGTATTAATGAGTGCAGAAGACATTTGCAGGGCATTGCACCTTAAATACAAAAGGAGGGTCCGAAATGGAAAAGGGGCTTATTTTGGGAAGACAGGAAAAGATGATCTCAAGCACCCCTGCAGCTTCTCTTGCTCTGGTTTGGAAGAAGGAACCAAGATTCATTCAAGCCCAATGAGCCCCAGTCCTCATCTGAATCTTAAAATGGCACCAACTGCATTTACCATCAAGGGCAACTCTGAGGCTCAGTGACCACACGAACTGTGTCACAAAGTCCAGAGAGCCACCCCCTGCTCCCACAAAACTGGAAAAGTAGCAAGAGTCTGTCCTGCCAGCCCAGAGCCCCCACGTACTGGAGCGGTTCTGCGGAGCTGGAGGTGCTGGTGCTGCCCTGCTCTGCCCAGGGAGCCCCGAGCTGCTCCACCACAGCAGCAGCAGGGAGGGTGCAGGGGAGGCACAGTGGGGGAGGAGATGAGCACACACAGCTCAGCAGAACTAGTCCCTTAAACTACCAACTGATAGAGACAAAATCAAACCGTTCGATCTACTTGCCCTTGGCCAAGGGCAGCTCTAAACAAGTGAGTTGTCCCAGGTTCTGGAATTCTCACCACTTTTCAACTGATTTTAGGCAACAAGGATGAATACCACATACACCTTGAATTCACTGTTTGTCAGCTGAAAGGAGCAACAGCAAACTTAGCAGTTTGGGGAAACATCTGGGTACTCCTCCCAGAAACTTCATGTGGCCCAGAGCAGAAATAAAGAGAAGGAATTGCCCATGATGATCAGCAGCTTCTGTGTCCAAAGAGCTTTTACAGTAGGCCATTATAGATTCACTTATATCTTATCTCAATTTTAATACACCACTTTCTGCATTATCACACTCCTTACAGCACACAGCAGATCTGCACAGGTCCAAAAACAGAACCAACAGAAAGCTAGAAACCCCAGCTTTTCCTATAGCTACACCTTACTTCCCTGCAATTGCTCTATTCCAGGATTTTATGCTTTTAATTTACACCACTGTATTTTTATAGTCTTGCAATTGTTTCTATGCTGTATCAGTTCCCAATAAACATAGAATTTACAATCCTACTAGGGTGTTAAGTAATCAGACTTTATATGGAAGTGCCATTTATGAGTAGTTCATAAAAGCTGGTAAACAACTAAAAACATTTCTATCAACTGTTGATTCTTGGACTATTAGAGATCTTTGGGACAACAGGCTACCTACAGCCTTCTGCAGATGTTCAGCTGGGGGCAGTGACAGTACCTACAACACACACTGCCCAGTGTGTATTGTCTCAATCTAAAAGAGACTGAAGAATTAAATTAAAGGTACATTTCATGTGTTAAGTTTCTTGCAAGAATCAGACTCCTCTAAAATTTAGTTTCCTTCTCTACTATCTCCTCTACCTGGACTGCCCTCACGATCTCCTTAATTTGCAAAATACCTGCTAATCATAGTTAATGAGACCACTAAGGTAACTACAGTTTATTAGAGGATGTCAGCTTTAACCAGCCCTCTGGCCACACCGCAACTTCTACATCCTATAATTTCCTCTGCCAAATGGCAGGATGAATTATCAGTCACTGTCACCGTAGGGAGAGGTACCCAGTTCTTCCCGAAGTCACCAGCACAGCACCCACACTGACCAGGCACCTCTGCAGACACAACCCAGTGCCTGACAACACAAGGGAACTTGTGCTGATCCACCAGAGGTGACACACATCTGTGTTTTTCCCCACAGCCATTTTAAGAGCTACCCCTCGTGTTCAGTGCTACAAACAGCTCTAACTCAGTCTGCAAACAGCAACAAGAAAACAAGGAGATGATTATCTTCTGAAAGCTTGCGTCTCTTTGTTGATTGACCGCCACTTATTTTCCTTCTTCCTCCCGTGTTCCACATTCCTCATCACAAACCTGTCCCACACAGGCCGTGGGTGCTGCTGGCAGGAGCCCCAGAGCTCACTGAGCCCCCTGCTCCTGCTCAGACCCCCACGGCCAGCAAAGCTCAGGCTGGGCTGGGAAACATCAGTGTCTGAAACAGGAAAAACACATCGCAAACACTTCACTCATTTGAAGTTTCTAATTGTTCTCGTGCAGCAACCTTGATTTATTTGTTCTCCATTCAACGTCAAGCAAAGACATCGATTCTGCTTCTCTGTGTCCTAGAGTCTAACACATAAAAAGTCACGTTTTCCAAAACAGTTTGTTGGGCCACTTCCATGGTTGTGCTTAACCACATGGAGTGCACATAGTCATTTTCTCCCGAGGCTTAAGGAGCTACAAAGTGTGTGTGCATGGATACTCTCATCTTGAGCAAAGCCGCTCTGTTCTCACAGACCCGTGAATGCAAAGCACAAATGTTGAATTTCACCAGCTTCCACTATGAACCCTATTTAAACAAAGTAGGATTTACAATGTACGCTCTACAAGCGGGGATTTTTCTATCAAATTCTGGGATTAGCCTAAAGGAAGTGTGAGACAATGGATTTCAACATTTTAATAAACATGTGGTTCCCTGGGGAAATTCAAAATGAAAAGCGAGCTGAGGGGCTGTGCTCTGCGTGCGTGTTCCCTGCCCCCGCGCTGTGAGCCCGTCCCGCTGCCCGGGAGGTGCGGGCAGACAAACCCGTCCCGCTGCCCGGGAGGTGCGGGCAGACAACCCCGTCCCGCTGCCCGGGCGGTGCGGGCAGACAAACCCGCCCGTCCCGC